ATCTTCCAACAGCCGGTGCTTTCACACTGTGATTCCATCACCCTTTCACATCTTTTGTGAGAAAAATCATGTTTCCTCATTGCATGTTTGTGGTTTTTTTTTAAATCCCTCTCTTCTATTTCTCGAGCCAAAGAAAAAAACCAATTGTTTTGATATTTTTCTGCCCTCTGTCCAGTTGTTCAACATTGTTTTTAAATACAGGCAGCTGAAGGGCAGAGAGTGTTCCAGTCTGTCTCACCAGCCTGTACAACAATAAGATCATCTCCTCACTTTGGTACTTCTCTGGTTTTGCAGTCCAAGACTGCTGTCTGTTCTAGAATTACCCTGGGAGTTCATGCTGAATTATTTGTCTGCTTCTAGCTTTTCACTCTTCCAGGGTTACAACCTTCCAGGAAATGGGATGTCCCCTGGGGGTTCTTGTATAATTTTTGTTTTATAAAGTCCAAGCATATTCCCAGTGGGATGTTTGCACATGCAGTTGTTTTTCTTCAAGATACAAAGCATTATAATATATTTCAGACCATTGTCAGATCCACTGTGCAAACACTTCAGTTTGCATTTTCCACATAGAGTAAATGTTTGTAAAAGGATAAGGACAGAAATTAGTGGAAAAAAATGCTACTATCTTTACTAGCATGACGTATTCTCCATATCTTGGGTTGGAAAGTGCAGAGAAAACTTGTACTTTCTCTCTAGAATAGGAAGTAAGCTTCATGAATCCCATAGTGCAGGGGATTGCAACTCAACTATATATGCAGAAAACTACTCAGGATTGCAACTCAACTATATGTGTAGAAAACTATCTGATAGCACAAAGAATATATACAATCTGCTGATCAGGACACTGATAAATTGAATCAATATTTCTAATTGGAATAAATGGCATGCACATTTCTTTTCTCTGCAAATCTGGCTTTACAATCCCTTTTTTGTGCACTCCATGTCAGAAGAGAGAAAGGTACAGGATTTCTTGGTGCCATAAATAAAATACGATGGTTGAAAAGTGAAGCTATGCAAGACAGTGGGCTGGAAAATCAACGAGGGCTGGAAATGGAAAGTAAGATTAAAGGTAACACTTGGCCACAAGATTATCCTTAGCAGCTTCAGAATAGTATGCAGTTAAATAAACACTCACGCAAAGCTTACTTTGTAATGTGCCTTGCTCTCACTTTTAACAGCAGATGATTGCTGTTTACTGGAGGGTAGTGAACCACAGGAAGTTGGCCTTTTTTAGCCCTCTTGCCCTGGAAAAGAACTATGTGAAGGCAACTCAATATAAACTCTCTTCCTTCCCTTCTCAGCTCCCCACCCCCAGCTGTGGCTTTTTTCCTTGACTATGTATCTGAGCATCTCCAGTTCAGACAAGTGAGGATCACTCCCAGCTATGGAGTGGGTTTGTTTGCTGGTGGTGCTGAGCCTTTGTGTTTTGTAGAATAGCCAGGGAGCACAATGATTCAAACCTGCCTGACCTGGGGTGCCAGAAGTACCACAACTTTGATTGCAATGGGAACATCCCCACCCTCAGCCCCTTGGTAGAAGAAACCAAATGATGAAGCGATTTGCAGTCTCAGAAAGTTTAGGATATCATGAACACCTTTAAACAGTTTCTAACTGTTCAAGTGGTACTTGCTTAATGAGATGAGTTATGTTGTTACAGTGCTGTGGAGTGGAATTGCCAATAGGTTTTGACACTTGCCATAACTAAGTTTTATGTGAAGGGAAATATAAATCTTGCATCTGGGCATCCTGTGCATATGGAAACGTGGACAATGAGGTGCTGAGATCAGTGCCACAGGCCAAGATCTTTTTTTATTGCCAAGAGAATGACTTTGGAAATAATTTAAAAGTGAAGAGAGTAAAAGATGTGAGTGAAGAAGAGCTGCTTTGTTAGAAAAGCCACTGAAACATGTACTTGATGTTTGGCCAAAGAAACATGATCCAAACTTTATGTTTGGTGGCCTAAGCTATGCTGGTTCACTTTGCTTTTTCTGGTGATTTTTGGTTATGATATTCTGCTTTGCAGTTGTGACAGGCTAGTTTTGTAATTCAGTAGCAGCAATAAATTGTTAAATTTTAGTTGACGTTAATAACAATTCTATGCCTTTTCAGGTGGTTGCAAATCAGCTTGGATGGTGGGGGTTTTTTAACCTCTGCAGCCAAATTGCCTAGCACTGTAACATTTAATAGGGAACTGACAGATGGGCTCTTATATAAGGGTGGTTTTTGATATTGTTGGAGTGATGTGTATTTCCTAGTCTGATCAAAACCATTTATTCCTAAAAATTCTTATCTAAAGATAAATGTTTGATATCCTAAAATGGAAGGTTGCTTTAGGGAATTAGAACTTTTAATTAGAAACAAGAAAACTGAGTTTAAAAAAATTGAAAGAAAGAAAGCTGCAAGAAGAACAAACTCAATGTCCTTCTCAGTGTTAAGTGAGCTGCTTTGGTCAAAATGTTAGTAGCACCCATCTCCTTAACTAGGCCAAAGTTTAAGAAAACTGTGCTTTAAGAAAAGCCTAGTAGACTGAACTTCTCAGTGGATTCATATGAATACACACAATTCCTTAGTGAGGGGTGAGAGTAGCAGTTTGGAAAGGCAAAGTAGGGAACTAAGCAGCAGGTCTGTGGGTAACTTATGTAACTGAACATTTGATCTCTTGTGGTCTTTCTCTTCCTATACCTTGAAAGATCTTATAGGTTTTGCTTACGTTTTGGTGTCCAAACAGAAAATATCTGAAGCTATTACTGTCTTTCAAGGTGATAAAATCCTCCCAGACAGCTACAGTTCAGTTGATTTTTTTCAGAGGGCCCGAATTTGCTGTCTCTGTGTCCCCGACTGGCATTTCCCTTAGTATAGCCAGAAATCTATGTCATGTGCCAAGAGATGGAACACTGTTCAGAGAGTGCCTTTCCACGCTGGGGAGACTGAGGGATGGCTCTGAGGCAGGTTTGATCAACCTGTGGAGGTCCTCGGAGAGCAGAAGCTCTGAGCTGCAGCCTCCAAAACGCTGCCCTGTAGAAGCACAGAGTGCATCGACCCACACGATCAGATTTGCTCAGTGCAGGAGTGGGTTTGTCAGAGCCTGCAGCTATGGCCAGGCTACTCACATACCCAATATTACCAATATAAAGAGAGCCTGATGTGTCTACATTGATTTCAATCACAGTAGTGACTTTCTTTCCATGAATAAGCAACCTGGAGACAGACTAATTGATTACACATATTTTTGATCAATATGTTTTGCTTCTTACCTTTTCTTGCTATTCATGTCTAAGAGTTTAAATACTCAAGGACACATAAAATCCATATGTATTTGTGAGCTAAATAAGAAGCAAATTTCTAAATCTTGTATTTGGATTTTATACTAGCTAATGTAGAAATCACGTGGATGTGAGCAGTGCTCCATGTTTGAGCTTCTAAACCTTTCCGAAAACTTGAGATTAGGGCTGAGAAACCTTTATAGCCTAAAGAGCGCTCATGGATCACATCCCCTATTTCAGTATCCACAGGATTCAGCCATCTTATTAAGTCTTTCATGTTTGATAACTGGATTTTTTGTTATTGGAACCAAGAATTGTCTTCATAAAAGAACTCTGAGCAATTGGCAACATCTACCCCACCTCACTCTCTGCAATAGTACAGTGAGTGTTACTGCTTCATTCTGTCACATAATGAGATGATGGGAAAACACCAGGTCTGATTTTAACACAATTTGATGCAGGTGTATTTCTAGAGTTGATTTTATTTTATTGACTCTCATCCTCTTTATCTCTCCTGATCTTTACCTGGGCTTTAGCCATTGGATTTTGTTAGCTTCAAAATTTCATGTTTGTACAGCTCACTGGCAAGGATAGAAATTATTGTAATGGCTTTAATAGGAGGGTATTTTTTCATTCTTAGTTTTATCTAGGCTTCATGTATCATTTCTTTTAAAATGCCATTTTTAAAACATCTGATTATTCTACTAAGAATTGTGCACGCTGAAGATATGTGTCAGTGATTGGCATTATATTGTATTTAACAAGCTGAAAAATATTAGCAATTTGAGGATTTGAAATCAAAAGTATTGGGGATCCTGTCCAGAAGTATTTTTAGGGAAAATCTTATCCATAACTAAAAGGGAATTATCTCATTAAATCTCTTAAGGGTTCAAGAAAATGAGTTGGGCATTGTTTGTTTTGGCTCGATTCTTTTTTTCTTTTTTAATGCCTCTGCATTTAGCCATAGTTATGTGTATCTGCAGCTGCATCATGGCTGATGTACAACTTGGATGAAACAGTTTGATGCAGCTAAGAGGGGACTGCTGAGATTCAGATGGACTTTTCATGCTCTTTTCCTTTCATTACATAATGTGAGGAATGTGAAGAATGTAAGGAGATGACAGCTTAAAAAAAGCTGAACACCAAGGATGTTTACACCTATAGTGTGATATGAGTGTGTATATGGTGCAGCTTTACAAGCAATGGTTGGACACTTGGTCTTCTGTGTCATTACCAAGACTGTGCGTTTGACAGACAACGAGGCAGTTCTCTGCTGCTTTCTTTCAGCAGCAGCAGAGCCGGCAAAAGTGAACACCAGTGGTCTTGCTCCTGGGATTCTTTAACTTTCTCTGTTAGATCCTGATTTCATAATGTACCAGCACCAGAAACCGAGCCACTTGAAAGAATTCCTGACTCCCTACCTTGTGTGATTGTTCCCACTTACCTCATGATTCCCTGTCCCCTCAGTTTGCTGAGGGTGGCTGGTTGTGAGGACAGATAATAAGCAGCATCTGTTGCCTGGCTTTAAATCAGTCCTCTTAAAAGTAAATAAATTAAAAAATCCTTCTCTGTTGGGGTTTGAAAAAGTTGTAATTATGTCTGTGCTACTGCTTAAAAAATATATGAGGAACCTCATCCTTAATTAAACAAATGCCATGATTAAAGCAAATGCTGAAACAAGCAAACAGTTTATACATTTTCCAATGTATTGAAAAACATATTTATTTGTTTTTTCAGCATTGCTTGAGAAACCCATCAGCAAAAGACGAGACAGTGAAGCTGTACAGAAGGCCAAGGTCCTTTACGCATCCTGCATGAATGAGAGTAAGTGGCTTGATTTGAGAGGGACATGTGTCCCTTCCAGTGCAGCATATTCAATGATTCTAAGATATATGACTTCCCTATGTTTATAAAGGCAGGGGTTTTATCTCTCTGCTGAGCTCTGTGCAGATGCATGGATTTTGCTGATATGGATTCAACTGAATGCAGAGGGTCTTTTACACATTTCTGAAGCTGAGGTACACCCAGGCACAAGAAATCAGTTTTAGAGAGACCTCTAACTGTCAGGGAACTGTGAATAGATATTTATCTGTGCAAAAGAATGCTAAAATTGTGTCCTAGGGTTGTGGGGTTAGTGCCTGGGGTCAGTAAATCAGAGGAGCTTCTGAGGAAATTCTCATACTGATATTTTCAACAGCCTGTGGCTCAGCACCTTCTATATTTCTCTAAATCTGTTTAATCAAAACACTTTCCCAAGACTGGATATAGACAGCCCTGGACTCTTTGAGTTATCTGCTTTAAGTCAAGCAAGTTAGGATGGGAAGCCCTATAGCCCTGTTTGCAGTGCTTTTCCTCAGCTTGTAAATGCTGCTGTCAGATGATGTACACTAGTCTGGGACACATCACTGCCCTTATGTAGCTACACAGGTGGAAGATGAATTAGAAGTGCCCTTTGTCCTTCTGGACAAAGGTTCCTTCTGAACCTTCTGTGTGCAGTTTTGCTCACTGCAATATGAGAAAGATATTAAGCTCTAAGAGAGTGTCCAAAGGAGGACAGCCAAGATGGTGAAGGGCCTTGAGTGGAAGCTGAACAAGGAGTGGCTGAGGACACTTGGTCCATTCAGCCTGGAGGAGACTGAGGGGAGACTGCACTGCAGTTACAACTTCCTCGTGAGGGGAAGAGGAGGGGCAGGCACTAATCTCTCCTTTGTGGTGACCACTGGTAGGACCCAAGGGAATGGCCTGAATTTGTGACAAGGGAGGTTTAGACTGGATATTTAAAAAAGGTTCTTCACCCAGAGGGTGGCTGGGCGGTGGAACAGACTCCCCAGGGAAGTGGTCACAGCACCAAGGGTAACAGAATTCAAGAAGCGTTTGGAGGATACTCTCAGGCACATGGTGTGACTCTTGGGGGTGGTCCTGTGTAGGGCTAGGAGCTGGACTCAGTGACCCTTCTAGGTCCCTTCCAACTCGGCATATTCTGTGATTCTGTTATTCCCTGGACAGTTTTCTTCCAGCACGGCCCAAGACTGGCTGCCAGCAATTGAGACAGCCTGCCCTGCAGCCTTGGTGCCAAGATACTGCCCCTCTAGCTTTGATTATGTACAATAACCAGCCTCTCCTTGGCCCCACAGAAACAGCGAAGTTTCTGTGCTAGTTTCTAAATCAGGGGGGGTTTTTTACATTTACTTAATTCCAGCCTTTGCCTTTTTTGAAAGGTACTGATTTGCCCCTATTATTCTTAATATACATAAACTGGGTTGGACTCCTGTGCTGCTGTGCTCACAGGCAGAGCAGAGGCTTTGGGTTTCAGCTATTGTGTTTTGTCTTGCCTAGAAATCAATTGATGCCATTAAATCTTTGTCTTGTGTGGCTGCTGCTGCTTTTGAATTATCTGGAATGTAATTGTTGTCACACTTTGGCATTTCAGATAAAATCGAAAAAGCTGATGTGAAGCCCCTCTTAAGTATCCTGAGGCACTCACCTTTCCGCTGGCCTGTGTTGGAATCCAATATTGGACCTGAAGGACTGTGGTCAGAAAGGAGATTTAGTTTACTCCAAGCCTTGGCGACTCTTCGTGGCCAATACAGTAACTCTGTCTTCATCCGTTTGTATGTGGCTGCTGATGACAAAATCTCCAATCGGTATATCCTGAAGGTACTATATAGCATATCTAATAGGTTTCTTTGCATGGTATTTTATGGTCTTCTTTTTTAAAACATGTTTACATGCCAAATGTTTACACTTGATTATTATTGTTATCTGCTGATGCACAGATGTTCATAGGTGCCAATTTATGGGAATGTAGAAGCCACTAGCAACCACATGCTACTGAAAAATATCTCCTACATATTGCTTTCTTCTTTCCAATGCCAGGAAAAAAATACAAATAATGTTCCCAGTAGACCAGTGTCCAGGGTCTATGTGCATGAGAATAAGAGGTCAATATCTAGTTCTGGGTGCTGCTTATGACTCATTAGTTGCATGAAGAATGGGAGCTTTTTGTCTGTGAAGATGAAGAATGGTGCATCAATAGCAGACATTCTGAACTTGAGCTATTTTTCTTAAGATGGAAACACATAATCTGTATCTTATATAGCAGCTTGTGACACAGATGTATCCGAAGCACTTTTAGACCTGAAATACAGAATTTACCTTTTTTCCTGAAATGCTATTACATTTAGACCAAAGCATTACCATTTTATTAACAGTGTGTAGCATTGCCCAACAGTTTAGTGAGAAAAAGATCCAAGAAATGTTGCCTCCCTGTAGTCTGACAAAACTCCAGAGAAAATTGTATTACTGTGAGATGTCACCATGGCAAGTCTGAGTACCTGGCCAAATGCATTGCTGTTTAGGAGTTACAGATGAGTAGCCAGAGTAGACCAGCCCTCCACTGCTATAAGAAAATAGGTTATGAAGGCAAGAGAGAAGGAGCAAATAAGAAAGTTATGATGCCATTCATCACAGCAAAGTAGGATCTATGGCCTTTTATTTTGCTGGCATGTGGGCTGGCTGTAGGAATGTAGCCAAGAATACATTGTATCTAGAGATCAAACAACAGTTAATTGTGTTGGTGCTGGAGTGGATGTCAATTCTGAGTCAGTTCTTCAAAATGTCTTCTGACTGAGGCATTTAACCGGTATAAAGTAGAAGGGTAACTTTTCCCCATCTCTGGGATATTTTCCTGGATAGTCAACAGCAGACCAACAGTTTGCTGTAAATAAGATGTCATTCTGCTAAGATACTTTTAAGATCCTGTCAGGTTTTCTTTGGCTTGAGACTTGTTTAAATGAACTGAAGCAGTAGAATCAGAGAGATGTTTAGTTGGGTATCTCCTGTCATAATATTTCAGTCCAAGTCACCTGTTAGCAAAGGGCTGGGCAGGGATATCCTTACTGCTGGTCTCTTGAAAATGAATTATAACTATCAGTACCTTTCCTTGGTATGCTTAGTGGTACCTAAGAATTAGGTATCTGAATAACTGAAGCACTACATGCTATGAATAACGTACTATCCCATAGGGTATTGTTGTTAATTTTATTAAGATCTTGATCTACAGATTGCATCGGCCAGTATTCTTCCTTGTCTGTGTTTTAACAAATTCCCAGGGGTGTAGATGTACCATGGAGTATTTCAATCTGCTTGTGAGAATAACTTCATTGCAAAATTCTTTTTGTTCAGTATTGCAAAATCATCAATGGATCATAAAAAATTAAAAACTCCAAATAAAACTTTGTTCAGCATTCAACATGATTTTTTTTGAGGGCTACAGAAATTGGTTAACTTTTCTGTTTCTTTCTCATATTTCTGCTCTCTTGGTTTTTATGTGTTGTCAGGTCTAAGTCTTAAGCCTAGGAAATTTGGATAGGAATTTATTGTACCAGTCACATAACTGAAACAGACCAAATAGTCTGAAGTTAACTATTGCCAAGACACACGTACAAAAAGCATATTATTTTTGCTCCAATATGCTGAGAAAAGAAGGTGATACTGTTTTTCAAAAAGAACCAGATTTGCACTGAGCATCACAGTTACTCTCCTTTTTGAGGAAGATTTGTTTTATTTGTTTATGATGTATTTTAAAGATTGTGAACATCAGCTAGTAGAGGAAAAGATTACATTTATTCATCCATTTTAGATTCTAAGATTTTATAAATGTGCAAAATGTGAAATATAAGTGGTTTAACCTAAATAATTTAGATTTAAAAAGACACATGAAATTGTATGAATCAATGCAATCTCTCTTTACTAGACTTATCTTTTAAAAACAATTACAGCATCAAACCAATAATTTTAGAACATCAAAACTGTTGTTTCTGCTCCAATCAGTATCTTATTCAGAGTTTGGAAGCTGGTTGAATGAAGTTTTCAGCTTTGGCTTCCACACTCTAGCCTAACTTCACTGCACTGAAAAGTTCTGGGAAATCTCAGTTCCTAGTATCAATTCTAAAATATGTGCTGTATTGTGAGTTTTGCCTGGTTAGGAATTTGAAACCATATGTATATATTCTCATGTAGATATTTCACTCAACACTAAGTGCAGATCTCAAACTTTGAGGTCTGGTTTAGAAATTACCTTGAGACCCTAATTCCAATATTAGGGTGACTGTAGACTATCAAATTTGATCCATGTTTAGATCAAAAAGGTAAGTGAAAGTCAAAGATCCACCTGGACCTACCAGACACCTTTAGGTAATGTACTGGAGAGATAACAATATCCTGGGCATGCATGCAATCCTGGCTGGTATCCAGTTGTTTCATATCTGTTCAAAAAGCTAAATACAGCACCCAGTGCTGGTCTGGGGTGAAGCTCAAAAGTGTAATCTCAGTTTCAGTCAAGAAAGGCTAACAGTGCCTTCTGGATACACAACAACTAACATGCTCCAGCACCTCATGGACATTTGGTCCATACACTAGGCTAGTGTGTCCCAAAGCTGACTCTTGTGCCCCTGAAATGTGCACAAGATGAATGGTCATCAGCACCAACTGTTTGATTCTGTAGGCCCAGTCCTATTGCATTACCTAATACTAATGGAGCCATAAACACCTACATCACATAGGTAATTCTTTTCTGGAGGTGGCTTAGGTATTGCAGGGGGCATCTGAGGCTCCCCAGATCACAGTAATCTGATTTAGTTAATATCTGTCAGCACAGCATAAGATTTTTCTGTTGTTTAGAGATCCTGTGGAGCTCAGTCTGCTGCAGTGCGTTGTGTATGTATATTTGCACACATCTACCATAACTGTCAGAGAAACTCTTCCAAGGTTGCTTATTAGTCTACCTTTGATTTCTGATGAATTTAGCTATTAAATGTTGATTCTTGTTATTTTTAACAGCTTGACCAAGCAAGCCTCTCTCTGGCATCTAGAGAGGATTACCTAGAAAACACCACAGAAGCCAAATCTGTAAGTACTATCAAATGGAAATTAGAGTGACCCTTTTTCCCCTCAGCTTTTTTCATTGTTGCTTTTGTTTTGTTGAGCTCCAAACTGAGAAAGGGCCATGCATTGTATGGATTTGGATTTTTCAGGGTATCTTCTGTCAGAAAACACCACCGCTACCACAAACACATCTGCAAAGTTTCCTAAACGAAGATTTTTGTAAGATTTGGGGTCCCCCTACTTTTCTTCCCGCTTGGAAGGGGCCTCTGGAGTTCATCTTGTCCAACTCCTCTGCTGAAGCAGAATTTACCTCTGGAATATACTACTAGTGACTGGCCTCCAACTAGGCTTTGTGCTCCTGATCCCAACCCTCTGGACCTGGTCACTCAGCTCATTTTCAATCCACCTCACTGTGCACTCCCCTACCCTGTACTTTTTAACCTTGGTGATCAACCACAACTGCTGTCCCCTCATCCACCAGGATATTAATGTAATTGTAGAAAATTATCAGCCTGGTTAAGTTTGATTTCCCCTTCATAAATCCATGCTCACTACCTGTGATCACCTTATCTTTCATGTGTTTGGAAATAGTTTCCAGGAGGGTTTTCTACATTACCTTCCCAGTAATTGATATGAGGCTGACCAGTCTGTAGTTCCATGGGTCTTCTGGTTTGCATTCCTTGGAGATAGGGGTGATGCTTGGTCTCTTCCACCCTTTTGGAACCTCTCCCAATAGTTGTGACCTTCCAAATACTGTCCAGAGTGAAGTTGCAGTGGTATCAACCAGCTTCCTCAGGACTCATGAGTACAATCTTTCAGATCCCCTGGATCTACTTATGTCCACTTTGTTCCCTAATCTGGTCCTCTTCCACTGAGTATAGGTCCTCCTTGCTCCAGACTTCCCCTCTGGACTCAGGGGCCTGGGATTCCTGAAAGTCAGTCTTATCAGTAAAGACTAGAGCAAAGTTGGCATTGAGTATCTTGGCCTTTTCAGTGTAATTTGTTACCCTGCTTCATTTAGTAGTAGATCCACATTCTCCCTCCTCTTCTTTTTCCTGTTATAGGGTTTTTTCCTATTGGTCTTCACATTCCTTACCAGATTGAACTGCAGGTTGGCCTTGGCTTTCCTAGCCGTATCCCTGCAAGATTTGTCAGCAACTCCTGGGTATACAGCTTAGTTTCTTGCAGCATTTCTGTGGACAGCAGTTGTGAAATAATGATGTTTATCAAAGGCTTTAATGTATCAGTACTTGGCTATGACAACAACACCTTTTTCTGCTCATTCAGTGAAGACATGTGGGCAAGTATCTGTCATGTGCAGCCCAAAACTCAAAGAGAACAACCTCTGGGGTTATCTGGGGGACAAGTCATTGCTGCTGATTTTTTACAGCTTTACTTCCCTTTTGAGTTCCCTGAGAGGTTAGTAAGTTTTTTAGTTACCTCTATCAGACTAGATGATGCCATGATACAAAGAATGGTAACTGCTAAAAGATTAAAGGTGGAAATGTGTTGGGATATATTTTTGCTGATGTTGGACTGTGAACTGCTAGGAGTTGATGAGGAGCAATCTGATCTCTCCAAAATCTCTGAAAGATTATACTGTGGGGGAGGCAGCACAGAAATCACTACAGTATCATTACATCCAGTGTATTTTGCTAACATCTGTGTACACAGAGATTAAAATGTGGTTTGTTAGGATATCCTGGGGAGAGCAAAGAAAAACACTGTAGCAGACACATGTGTTGTAGTGTGTGGCAGGAACAGAGGAGAGAGCTCATTGGAGCATCCCTTTATCTTCCTGTCTTCTCAGGCACTAAGCTTGCACTTGTATACAAGTGCTTCTACTGTCCTGTAGTGATTACTGTATGAGTTGGCCTAAAATACTGGTGTACAGTCATACACATTGTCTAATCCATTTGTAATAGCTGAAAGTGTTAGTCTAATCCAGAAGTGTCATTTGCATTTCCTGAGATTTGTACTCCCTGAACCACAGCAGGTATCTCTGTCTGTCATACAAAGTATTTTTACAGTGTTATTTCTCCTTTTTAACTTGCTGACAGCAGACATTCAAGGTAAAGAAAGCACAACCTTGGTTGCTAAAGCATGAAAGTATTATACTCCTTGCTATAGCTGGGCATTTCTGGTTTACTGCTACAGCTCTGCTCAAGAGTAAATCCAGTAGTCACATCATTCTTTTTGTTTCTTTACAGTACCGAGATGCCTTTTTGCAGTTCATGGTTGATACAGCAGTGCTTCTGGGTGCAAATGCTTCACGAGCTGAATCTGATATGAAATCAGTTCTAAAACTGGAAGTTAAAATAGCAGAGGTTGGTAATCTAATGCAATCCTTTTTCAAAATGAAATTCATTATATCAACAGAGGTAGCAATAGTGCCTTTTAGAAGCTGAAAGAAAGGAGCAGATCCTGATGAAGAAAGGATTAATAATATTTCTCCCTTAATTGATTGTTAAATTCATTGTTTTATTCTCCGGGGGAAAAACCTTAGTCAAATACCTTTGGTCTCTTAAATTGTAATGTGAACCAGGCTCACTAGAGATAAGCCTGGGGGTGGCATGGCAATGTTTAAGGAACAGTTTGCTAGCGAGGTCCTTCGGTCTGCCATCTCAGTGGAAGTAGGGGATGGAGATCCATGTGGCAACAAAGATGCAGGGATTGTTGATGTGTTAGAAACTCTGGAAGCTCAGCTGGTCCCATAGGAATCAGGGCTTCTTCCCCTGAAAAGGTGATGGGATCAATATCCCGGCTGAAGTGCATCTACAGCAATGCACTGGTACCCATTGTGCAGCTGGAAAACTGTGATATAGCTGTCATGGAAATGAGGTGGGTTGACTGGAAGTTAGCTAATGTGATGCCCATCTACAAGAAGGGCCACAAGGAGGATCTGAGAAACTACAAGCCTGTGAGTCTGGCCTCGGTGCTCTAAAATGTTATTGCACAGATCATCACTGTTGCCATCATGCAGCACATACAGGATAACCAGATGACCAGGCCCAGTCACCATGGGTTTATGAAAGACAGGTCCTGCTTGACTAACCTGATCTCCTATGACAAAGTGACCCACCTAGATGTTGTGGGAAAGGCTGTGGATGTTGTCTACCTAAAGTTTAGTAAAACCTCTGACACTGTTTCCCGCAGCATTCTCCAGGAGGAACTGGCTGCTCAGGCACACTCTTCGCTGGGTTATAAAACTGGCTGGATGACTGGGCCCAGAGAGTGGTGGGGAATGGAGTTACATCCAGCTGGTGGCCAGTCACAGGCGATGTTCCCCAGAACTCAGTATTTGGGCCAGTCGTGTTTAATATCTTTATTAATGATCTGGATGAGGGAATTGAGTCAGTTTGCAGAGTGCACCAAGTCAGGCAGCTCTGTTGGTCTACTGGAGGGTAGTAAGGCTCCACAGAGGGATCTTGACAGACCTGATTGATGGGCCAAGGCCTATTGTACGAGGTTTAACAAGGCCAAGTGCCAGGTCCTGCACTTGGGTCACAACAACCCCACACAACACTCCAGGCTTGGAGAAGAGTGGCTTGGAAGCTGCCTGGTGGAAAAGGACCTTGGGGTGCTGGATGAACATGACCCAGATGGTCAAGAAGGCCAATGGCATCCTGACTTGTATCAGAAATAGTGTGGCCAGCAGGACTAGTGCAGTGATGGTCCCCCTTTACCTGGCACTGGTGAGGCTGCACCTCAAATCCTGTGTTCAGGTTTGGGCTCCTCACTACAAGAAAAACATTGAGATGCTCTGGAGCACAAGTCTTATGAGGAGCAGCTGAGGGATCTGGGGTTGTTTAGCATGGAGAAAAGGAGGCTCAGGGGTGACCTTATCATTCTCTATAACTATCTGGAAGGAGGTTGTAGTGAGGTGGGGGTCTGTATCTTCTTCCAAGTAACAAGCAACAGGACAAGTGGAAATTGCCTCAAGTTGTGTCAGGGTCAATTTAGATTGGGTATTAGGAAAAATTTCTTCACCAAAAGGATTGTCAAGCACTGGAATAGCCTGCCTAGGTAAGTGATTGAGTCTCGATCCTTGGAGGTATTTAAAAGACATGTAGATGTGGCACTTGAGGATGTGGTTTAGTGGTGGACTTGGCAGTGATGGATTTAATGGTTGGACTCAATGACCTTACATGTCTTTTCCAACCTAAGAGATTCTATGATACTGTAATTGTGAAGCTGGGTAGAATTTGAATCCCTGCTGTGCATCCATGTTGCGAATATATTACCCTGTTGTTCAAGAAGCAGATTGGGCTGATTCTCTGTAGAACAGTCTAAAAGCAGTGCAAGACTGAGGTGGGATATTGGAGGTGGTAGTGAGAGGGTAGTGTTTACAGTAGCACCACCCTTAGCTCCTGAGGTGCTTTCATGGAGTACTCAGGGAGAGTAGATGAGAAACTCCATGAGTTTTAATTTAAGGGGACCAACTGAATTTGGTAAAGCTAAGTGTATTTAAATCTAGTACTTGGTTCTGGCATTTACTTGGAGACATTTTTGCCCCCTTGTGGAGTTTAATTTATGCATTAGGCTTGTTACTGTTTGAAGGTGCATTTTTATTTCTGTGTATCCCTCCTTCAGTATGGCTACTACAGGAATCCCGTCCCTGGAAGCTGCAACTCCACGATCATTTCAACTTCTAAAGCTAGAGAGAAGAGTTAGCCTCAGTGCTGGGAAAACACCAAAGTTTAGGGCTACAAACTGGTTTGCATAACTGCCAGCTGAGCTGAGAGGCTATTCCCTTTGAAATGGTGGTCTCTCATTAACAGAGAAGCCTATTGCACAGGACAGGTGATGCAACAGATGACTTTTATCTGGGTTCTGCCGTTGCAGTCTACAGGAGGAAAGGCAGTGATGCTTCTTAATGGTGTGTTTGTACAGAAGTGAGGGCCATCCGCAACAGTAGTAAGTCAGTGTTTCCATTTTTTCTGCTGAAAGGGATGAAATTTGCCAAACCTCTAAATAAAGCCCAATATTCAGCTTCAGTTACTTAGCGTGGATGGACTAATGAGCAAATACTTCATTGTGACCCAGTAGACTTGAAAAACAGTAAACATTTCTTCCTTTTATCATTGATGTGATTAGAAGATGCATTGCTAGCTCTGGTAGCTCTAATGCTTTACTTAACGAATGTCTTACAGAGAGTACAAAGTATGTAGGTGAAGTTGCCATATAAGATGACACAGATCATGTAAAAATCCTCAGGATTGTTAATGCACATTGTTATGTGACAAACCATGCTTGCTCATGGTTTCCTTTAGTATGAATAATCCTCCTCGTGTCTGTCCAGATATTAGGTGTGAGTCCAGGGATACGAGTTATTACATAATCCCTAATGAGCACAATGATTGTATATATGTAAACATTTTACTGATTCAAAGGAGGTCGTCCTGTTTGTCACTTAAGGTTTTACTGTATCCTGTATTCCCCTGCGTTTGTTCTAAGTAAACATATATAATGGAGAACTTGTATGCAGCAAGAATACTTTGAATATAAGAAAGTGGCATGCTTTAAGAGAACTTGTTATGTACAAGGATGATTTTTATTAGGATTGAATGACTGGAGAAGGAGAGAAAGTTCTGAGAGGAAGAGAGTAAATGGGTTCAAGAAGAGTTTAAAGATTTTTCAGATAAATCAAATTTGCAGAAAGGGACAAGAAAGTAGTTTTTTATTTTCCTGTGTGGCTTGAGCAATAGTAAAACCGCAGACACTTACTGGAGAATTTTGGTTGGAGAACTGCCAGCTGTCTGGTTAGTCTGGCGTCAATCTCTGTCCTCTTTAAACTGCACAGCATACAGCTTGTTGCATAGGATTTACCTTAGAGTGGGGCTGGAATTGCCATCAGGAAGTTTTATTTCTCTTTAGCACTGAGAAAAATTAGACCCATGTCTTGTACTTGATTTGTTTTTCTATTATGTACCATAGGGCCACGTTGGAGTCTGAATGTCCCTCTTGTTAGTTATAAAAGGACTTGCTTTATATTTAGGATTTCCTTTGCTGTGACACTACAGAGGAACTTGAGGTCTGGCTCCTCTGGTCACCCAGATGGAAGGCCTGGTTGGGGAATGCTTTAATTTGTGTCTGGCCTATGTACCTGGGTTCCTGCTATGGAAATCAGGATGGTGGGGTGAAATGAGGAGAAACTTGTATGCATCTGGCTCTTCCCTCAGGTAGAGTAAGGCTACAGCAAGATCATGTTCAAATCCAAGACATGAGCTGTACTTCCAGTATGCCTATCTCAGGTTCAGCCTTTTAAAGAAGACATGTACCTCACTAAATTCCCCAGTAATGAGTTAAACTTAAAATGAACTAAGTTCCATTTCTTCCAGTTAAATTTCATTCCCAGAAAGGGAAGTTAATGCCCTAAATTCTTGGGAAACAAGTGGTGAGATATTTCTGCACTGGGGTTATGATGGATAGTAATGACATAAGAGCAGGTCCCTGTAAGATAATCCTTGTTTTGATGGTTTTGTGTTTTTTTTCTCTTTCCCAGATCATGATTCCATATGAAAATCGAACAAGTGAGGTGATGTACAATAAAATGAACATATCGGAGCTTAGTGCCATGATTCCACAGGTTGGTTGGGGATAATTGCAAAATTATTCTTTTAATATCTGACCTACGTAATTAAAATTGCCTTTAGTGTGCAGAGAAGCATGTTAAAGGAATATCATTAGGAATGTGTGTGCTCATTTACAATATATGTTCTTTTAAATACAGTTATGACTTTACTGAGATTGAAAACACATGTAATAACAAAGTGCAATACTTTCTACATTTTTAATAAGTAAAGCTTTGAAACAATTAGTTTTAAAGGTGCAACTTAGTTAATAAATCATCTCTCTTCATAATCTGATTTAACTAGCCTTCTCTTTGTCATTGCAGTTTGACTGGCTGGGATACATCAAGAAGGTGATTGACACCAAACTCTATCCTGAGCTTAAAGATATAGGTCCTTCAGAAAATGTGATTGTCCGTGTTCCCCAGTACTTCAAAGATTTATTCAGGATACTAGAAAATGAAAGGAAAAAGTAAGGATCCTATGATGATTTCACCCACACTTGTAAGGTTACATGAAATGCTGGGCTTTTCCTGTATTTTTCAGGAGTTTCAGATATACTTGGAATCAAGTCTCTAGTAAAATGGTCTGTTTGGTTTTGTCTGAACAAGGATATAGATACTACCTTGTGTGTAGCAGGAGAATTTGTAGTTTCAACACCTTTCATCTTCTATGGAAAACTCAGGTTGCAGTAAAGCTGCATTTTCCAGATGCGTTCAGCATCTCCTACTTTTATAGGGTCTTTTATCTTGTGAAATGATTTACATCTGTAGAACATGGTTGTAGAATGCAGGTATCTCAGATTAAACATATTAGATGTACTTTGCACGGGGAAGCAAGACAGCTTTGAGCAGTGATGAAAAAGCAACACCCCATTTGAAACATCATTACTGATGACATCTAAGGGATTTCTGTGATAATTTGTTCTCTGCTGAGGTGTGTTGCTGAACTTTTAAAAAAATATTGTTAAACTGCTGTCTCCAAATATCAATCTTTGCTGATTGTACAATATCACAACTAAAAGTATGCTTCAGAAAAAAAAAAACAAACACCAAAAAACATAATTCAGAAGAGTTATTCTTATATTGTTGCTCTATGTCTCTAGTGATGGAATGCTTACACCAATTCATGGTACCTGTAAAAATAGCACACACATCAAACAATAAGAAAAATAAAAATTACTGACCTGCCTACAGATCATCAAATATCCTTTCTTTATAAAATTCAGACAAATACCGTTAGTGTGCCACCAATCTTAATCTACTGAAGAAAGTCTTTTAAATTATTTGGGCTGTCCATGCTTTCTGTCTCAAAGTTAGTTACACCAGTGGGGATAAAGCAGTGATTTAGAGGATGCACATCTAGCAAGACAGCAGAGAATTAGTTATTCCCAGTATACAGATAGAGTTACATGCAAATATATTCTGTAACTACGGAGTAAATACTTGGAGACTTTTTTCCAGTAATTTCTTATTCGGGGAAAATCTGAGTATTCAAGAGAAGTTAAGCCATCCTGTGTGTCATGGCAGAAGGAAGCTGTAGTAATGGCTAGAAATAATGGCAACATCTGTCTTCAGCAAAGCTGGAGACCAGCTTTCTGGCCCCACAGGTTGGGAGAAGGGGATTGGGCAAAAGTAATCTCTCATTCCAGTATATTCTCACTGCATATGTTGTAGCTGATAATGGCTCAGGCATTTTCTGTCCACTCTTACCTTAAGCAATTTGCATCCTAAAGTGTTAGAAATGGCAAATAGTGCTTAAACTCAACCCAAGCAGGCTTCAAATTCTTGTGTGTAAAATAATGCATCCCAACAACCCTTGCATGATAACAAAGATCATATTTATCTATTAGGTGATAATGTTCATTACTTCAAATGTCAGAATGTGCTCCAGAAGTAACCTTGTTATCTGGCCTGAGAAAATTAGGAAGTTATCTTAATGTGAACTCCTAACAATGAGGTCAGGGTGAACTCTGAAAGCTTAACAAGGATATTTTCTTTTAGGTAATCTCATTTGTCATTCTCCATATGATATTTTAAAGGTTAAGTAAATGTAAACACCTATGAATTTTATTTGTTATTGCAAATATCTATACCAATCAAATTCCTAGTAAATCCTCAGATTTGCTTCAGTGTTTAGAATGTGAATTCAATTCTCATCATTTCAGGAGATGCAGTGTCATTATGAAACACAGGTACTTTCACAAAGTTCATATTCTTTTCAGTTACAAATCTATCCCTAAACTATACTTTTATTCCAATGCCTTGTGTGTCCTATTCCCAGATGAGCATCCTGCTAGCATGGGTACAATTCAAAATGTCACAAAAAGATGGGTCATGCCCCAGTGATCTGGTAAAGTACTCCATGAAGTTTGTTTCAAGTGGAGGGAAGAATGAGTGAAAATTGTCTGATTACAGAGGCAATTATCTGTGTTGGAGGTGGCAAGTCATATGGACTCAAAATCATTGTATTAAAAATTTGTCCCTCAGAGAACCTGCTGAGCAATCTTGAATCATGAAATCATTCATATGGCAATATTATTAGAAGGTAGTACATTGGCACGGTGTAGAGTGAATTTAGCAGAATTTTACTTGACTGCATATAACCAAATTACTGTGTGGAGCTTGAAATTGGTGCAGCAGTGTGGTTCAGGGGTCTGTGTGAAGTTCCCAAGCCAGGGCACTGCTGCAACTCCAGTCAAGGAGCACAGCTCTCCATAACAAGCTGCCCAAGAAGCTGAGCAACTAGCCTGCAGGAGTTTCCATCAGCTCTGGGATAGCTATCCTAAGTCATGTCACGTGTTCAGTGCTGAAGTAAGTCACACTTTCCTCATAAGAAGTCTTCAGGGATTCCTTCAATTTTTTGGGGTACTGACTAATTTTTAGTGGGGTTTATCTCTGTTACAGGAGGAAGAGGTGTATGTATGTGGCTGTGATATAAATGAGCCACAGCAGAGCTCTGGTACAGCTGTGCCGTGTGAGGGGGGAGATAGAACTGTGCTGGCACCAGTTAGGAGCCCCTTATATCCCTCCCCTGTTATCTGTGTGCTGGTGCTTTATGTGAGCCATAAATAGGACACTGTAAATTGCATCCTTTTTGGAGATGTTTGCAGCTGCTGAAAGAAACAGCTTTATCATTCTTACAGATATCGGAATGGATAACTAGTTTCATAGGATCATAGAGTGGTTTGGGTTGGAAGGGACCTTACAGATCATCTGGTATCAACCCTCTTGCTGAGGACAGGGACATCTTGCACTAGACCAGGTTGCTCAAAACCCCATTGTTATGACCCACCCTTAAGGGGAAGGCCAGCCTGGCCTTGAACACATCCAGGAATGGGGTACCCACAACTTCTCTGGACAACTTGTTCAGTGCCTCATCCCCCTCACAGTCAAGAATTTCCTCCTATTATCAGATAAATCTATTCTTTTTCAGTTTTAAGCCTTGTCCCATCACTACATGCCCTTGTGAAAAGTCCCTTTCCCGCTTGCTTGTAGCCCCTTTTTCCTTTGTCTTAACTTACCCTATCTTTGCAGCCTGATACTGTTAATTGACAAGTACTTCAATTCCTTTAACATATGAGGAATTTTCTTTAGAGAGGGATGGAGGCACTAGATCTCCTTTCTGGTCCAGCCTCTGAATAAAATTAGAGAGAGAAGTTAAAATAATTTAACTTGAACTAGTGCCTCTAGCAATAAGGCAGAAGTTTTTCAGTACTTATAATTTGATTAGTGACTCAATTCTAAATACAATTTTCAAACAGATCTAAAATTTGTGAAAGGAATCTTTTTCTTAAAATGTCAATTAATTTGCCCATCTATCTCATATTAAATCTGTCCTCTTTAATTGCTACCATGGCTGTTGATTAAAATATTGCAAACTCACAGAATTTTACATGAGTAACCTACTTTATTCCCAGACAGGACAGAGAGTACTTTAGTAAATATTCATAAGCACTGTTACAAATTTAACTGTCCCAACAAACAAGTTCCCTACCACTTCCTTTGGGAGTGTATGTCACAATAATGGTCATATTGGTTAAGAGTGAGCCTACACTTTCTGTAACAGCCATTTGGAAGTTAAAATAGAGGGCTATGTACTGTACTCTTCTGAAAGGTTATAACAACAAATGCTCTGGTCTCATTGAAAAATCAGAGAGGATTTTTATGTTTTATTTTTGTGTCGGATTTTGCTCCATGTGTAGAGGTTAACTTATCTGAGCCTCAGTGAACTTATTTGTGTAACTGGGATGGAAATCACCCTAAGATAAGCACAGAAAGCATTTCATAAACAAAAAGTGTCAGTTTTTAAACCAACTGGAGATTAACATGATTTGAAGTTTTTATAGTCAGCCTAAAAGGTAAAATAATCATCCCCAAAACTGATAAACAAATTCAGATAAATTACTCTTTTATATAGTTCTAAAAAAACAAACTAAAGAACGCTACCCCTCACACATGTAACAACAACAAACCCCATCAACCTTTCCCCCTGTTGCCCACACAGCAAATAAACATAACTCTGCACTTTGAAGTGAAACCTTCCTGTTTTATGCGTTGTATTCATCAGTGGATCCTAGTGTGATTACATTCAGGAATTATTAGTCTCATCAGACAGCTTGGCTTTAGGATGTGTCAGCCTTTTCCTTCTCAAGTTAAAACAAACCTCAATTAATTGTGAGATATTTACTGCAACTGTCAGCTGCTTTCATTACTTATGTCTGGTACAAACATTTCTGAATTCTTGTTGATATTTTTGTCTTTCAATAAGTCACCTTTTTGAGACCCATCCTTTACAAATTTCAGTCTTTTATTCACTACCAATCTGGGAGAGGTTCCCCAACTCAAATGTAAGGACAAACAGCACTGTATGAGAACAAGAAGCACACAGAAGAGAGAATTGATTTTTTGGTTGCAATTAAGTACCAAACTGTAATACATAATTGGTTTATGATAGTGATCTGTTTAGATGAGTTTTTTTACCTAAGACTTTTGATCAAAATTAAATCTTTAAACCTTTTAATCTATAGGACTTGCATATATCCTGTTTCAGATACACACAGCAGTTGATGCAGGAGAATGGATGCTCTTCAGCTCTGTTGAAATATCTGAGGCAGATAGTTGTGAGGTTTACAGAGTTTAAGTAATTTACAAAAACAATGAGATCTGAGTGTTTTTAAGGTGCTTCACTTGCCATTGAGTGAGAAAATTCCACACTGTCACAAATTTGTTAAGGGGAAATTCTGTACTTTCTGGTATTTCACAGTTTGAAATGAATTTTTAATGACCCAAAGCATTATCTCAAAATGGTTTGATCGTCTAAGCAGAGCTAACTATTTTGCCTTTTGCAACACATACTGTCTTATAAATGTACATTATTCATGCTAAAAAGCTTTTTCAGATCTGTTTTATGATTATTGTGGGCATTTAGGTGCACTATATGATATATCTGTATACTAAAAGAGGGAATATGCCCATAGTGAGAAATGCAATAATGCATCTTGAGCTGAAGGCTTTGTGTGGGTGGACTGGAGCTTGGTTAGAGGGAGAACTGAAGTTATGTCTCAGGAAAATACAACATGCCCACGAAGTGTGTTTATTATGTCATGTTATGATTCAGAGGAGGGAAACGTATGGGATGTGTCTGTCAATGAAGCTAATGGAGTGACAATGTAGCAACAGCTACATTGCCCCACACCTGTGGCAATGAGAGATTGCAGAAATGGGATTTTTAGAGGTGGGGGTGTTGTTCAGACAGTCCATAACAGCATCTTTGGTTGCAAAGAAGCAATTTTCCTACCTATGGAAAAGTCTATGGCCTGCCCAAAATGTTATGTATATCCCAGTGTAGAGTAAATGATGTTTGGATATCCATAGCTTTAAAGCAATGACTATCCTTGAAAAAAACATGTTATGTAAAAGAGAAGATGAGAATAATATGTGTAGGCCATTACTGGATTTGTTTTGAGACTGTTTAGAGTTGAATTGCATATTTCAGAATGCACCTTTACCTCATACAGCCACTGCTGAACAGGGGAAGAGATAAGTCTAGACTAGATAAATCCTCCAGTCAGGTGCTTGAAGTTTTAGAGAAGGGGCACGGATGTCAGATCTCCTGGGAATTTTAAACAAGCTCTTCGTGGCTCTCTCAGCCTCAATTCAGGAGATTTTTGTTACTGAGACTTCTCCCTTTTGGTATTTCAATTATCCATCTGACAAAATAAGAATGGTAATACTTTAATAACTCTGAGAGGAGTGGAAATTTTAAAGCATATTGATAACTTCTAATGAAAGATACAAATATGAGATAATGATAGTGTATATGGGATGGACTGTTATCTACTCTGTTACCACTTATGTGCCCTACTAATGAGGAGAGATAACATTCACTTTGATCTACAAAAGAAAAATCGGTTATCTCTGGATAGAACTTTTATGCAACTATTATTATAACACAGTTCTTGTCACTTCTAAGGAAAATGAAAGCTGCCTTTTTTGGAAAAGACATTACCTGAAAATGACATAAAAGGTGATAGACTTGTTATAAATAACCCCTAGAACATGGTTATCATGGTGCAATTACATAATAACTGGTTGCAATCATACAGATTCTCCTGTGTAATTGGGCTTTATCGATTTGGTCATTAATCACTAACTTCCAAGGTGAAATTTCCACCAATGAGGTGAAATGTTTGTAGAGGTATTTCTCTGAGTGCTATGTGGTACATCATATGTGTTTAGATGCCTGATAAAAATATTTCTGATTTAACAGGACTCTTGCCAACTACGTGGTGTGGAGGATGGTTTATTCAAGGTTATTTAATCTCAGCAGACGTTTCCTGTATCGGTGGCTAGAATTTTCTCGGGTAAGTTAATGCTTTCATAGCATTTAAAATGGTATTAGTGTTGACACTATTGGTTACCCTTATACTTGCTTATATTTTTGTAAAACACAAAATGTTTTCTGTGCTGGATGAATTTCTTGAATTTACTTTTTTTTGTTGAAGACTAACTCTGAAACAATTGACATACATATTTTTGTATATGGCACTAAAAGAAATGTCTTTTAGAGTAAGTTAAACAATTTTTGGGACCTACTCTTTAAAAATCTTAGTCTTCTTTTGCAGAAACTTGAAAGCTGGAACATTTTTGACTTAGGTCATGTGGGCTGTGACCTATGCTATTCCTGCAGGCCAAAACCATTTGGCCAAAACCTAAACTTTTTGAAAAACTTACTGTTTGTCCATGTGTGAATATAGCTGTCGTAAAACAGAAATCTTAAGATTTCAGGTTTTTTAAGCTTGCTCAAACCTCTCTCATACTCTAATACCAACTTTACATGAGCTCTAGCACATCCATATATGAGCCATTTCCACAAAGAAGGTGATCAGGTGTCTTCCAGCTTGGGGATGAGGAAGAACCAGAAGACTGCCACAAGCTATGAGAGCAGAACTAATTATCTATTAAGTAATGTGGGCATTTATGTAAAACACGTGTATTTGCCTGAGTGAACCCTGAATAGAAAGCCAGTTTGGTAATCCTGTGGGCAGTGTGAGGGCTCTTTAAGTAAACTAAAAATGAAACTGAAACTGATTGGTGCTTTGTCTCCTTTCCAAGCCACTTTAGATGGTGAACTCTGTTTGCTATTATGAAAATTAGCTGTTTGGTGACATCATGATAATAGGAGGCTGGCGTGATGCTGGCAGTGATGTGGTACAGGAGGTGTGGGTGTTCTGTCCTCCCCGGTGAGGCATGAAAGTGACTAATTGAAGCAGCTGTAATGTCTTTCCTTGGATAGTACTGGAACTGTTCTGAGCTGATCACATACCTAAAAATAAACTCCAAGAGATTTTTGATAGAAATTGCACAGGAAAGGCAGTCCCTTATACTTCTGAAATCATATTCAAATCAGTCTTGTTAAAGGTGCTGTTTCCTTCATGTAAAATGAAACTGGCTGTCAGAACCACAGTGACATGTTTGTAAGTGTGTCCCTTCCTGGGACATTCCTTGCTAGTCAGGTAAGATAGATTGATGCTGGCCATCAGCCAGTCTGCAGCATAATACTGAGTTACATTGAATTATATAATGGCCAGAAAAATTCCTGAAAGGAAATGTTAAGCTTTGAACACTGTGCATTTTAATATGGTGACTAGCTACTGTCACTTCTATGGGTATTTTCTCCAGAAGTTTAGGGAGAAATTTAATTCAAATTGATTCAATGGTTATTAATAATCTCATCAAGGCTGTCACAGAATCATAGAATGGTTAAGGTTGGAAAGGACCACAGCTGGTCATCTGGTTCAATCTCCCTGCTTAAGCAGGGCCATCCTATAACACATGGTAGAGGATTGCATCCAGACACTTCTTGAATATCTCTAGTGAGGAAGACTCCACAATCTCTCTGGGCAACCTGTTCCGGTGCATGGTCATCCACACGGTAAAGAAGTTCTTCCTCAAATTCAGGTGGAACTTCCAGTGTATCAGTTTCTGCCTGTTACCTCTCATCCTATTTCTTAACACCTCCAAGAAGAGCCTGACTGCATCCTCTTAACACCCTCCCTTCAGATACTTACAAATATTGATGAGGTCCCCTCAGTCATTTCTTCTTGAGGCTGAGCAGGTCCAGCTTCCTCAGCCTTTCTTCATAAGAGAGATGTTCCATTCCTTTATTCATATTTATCTCCCTCCACTGGACCTGCTCCAGGAGCTCCTCTTGTACTGAGGAGCCCAGAACTGGACAAAACACTCCAGGTGTGGCCTCACCAGGGCTGAGCAGAGGGGCAGGATCACCTCCCTCAGCCTGCTGGCACTGCTTTTCCTAATGCAGCCCAGGATACCTTTGGCCTTCTTGTGCACAAGGGCACTGCTGGCTCATGGACAGGTTGTTGTCCCCCAGGACACCCAGGTTCTTCTCCACAGAGAATGCTGCTTTCCAGCAGGTGAGCTCCCAGCCTGTACTGGTGCCTGGGGTTATTCTTCCCCAGGTGCAGCACTCTTCATTTACCCTTGAATTTCAAACTGTTCTTTGCCCATTTCTCCAGCCTGTCAAGGCTCTTCTGAAGGGCTGCACAACCCTCTGGGGTATTGGCCACTCCTCCCAGTTTTGTGTCATCAGTGAATTTAATGAGAAGGCATCTGCCCCTTCATCCAAGTCATTGATGAATAAATTAAACAATTCTGGCCTCATAAATGGTTGCGAAAGCTTACAGCACCCTAAGGGCAGTGAGTCAGCAGCTCATTCCCATTATCTCCCCCTGGGACCTGGAGATGGAGATTTTGTTAAGTGCAGTAAACAGCAGTAGCTAATAGTTAAATAGCTAAATTTAAGTGGAGTAAACAGCTCAGTGGAACAGACTTCACAGGTCAGCAGAAATAACATGAGAAATGGAGTCCAAGGCAAAGGCCTTGTTGAATAGATTTGTCCAGTCAGAGTATGGAAAACTAAAGACATTTTAGGATCATAAGAAGGACCCACCAACCTCTTGCCAGTTAAGTGAATGAAAGATTGAATGGCTATTGAAAAGACATGACCATGAGATGAATCAGTGACCCTTAAAGGAAAGGATATATTTTATACGTGCATTGTTTCATTAATTCAGTCAGCCTCACCTATCATAAGCATAGTATTTTTTTTTCGCCAGGTTTTAGTTTTCTATTAGTGGCTTTTACAACTTATATGTAGAAATTGTGGCATCAAGACCTTAAAATCTTTGCAAAGAGAGGGAAAAGACACGATGAAACTTCAAAAAAGCTTTGGATTGAGAAATAGGACAAACCTGCTGACTCCAGAGAAAGTGCTTTGAGAACTACGTCAGCAACTATCAGCAGCTCCTCTGCAGTGGTGCTTTGAGACCTAGTAAATGTGCAGAGGCACCTGGGGAAGAGATTGGTTAATTGTGTTGTGAAGCATTGAATTGACTGGGAGGGCTTGAAACCTGCTATTTATAGTCACTGTTACTACCTGGAGTACTGTGTTTTAGAGTGGTACATTAATATTAGGAGGACCATTTGAGGGAGTTCTTGTTGGCTGTTGTAACATAAATATCAATAAACCAGCTGTGAGATATAATCTATTTTTATTGGTCTCACAGCCTGTGCTGCCTTTATGTCCTCTTTACAGTCAAGCCTCCCTCAAAATGATGATAATTATTATGTTGTAATAATAGTATGTCACAGTCTAAAAGCCAGCTCTGTCTCCTGGCTCTTTCAATGGCTGCTTTTGGAAGGAATTTCAAGCTCTGATGACTAATGCCATAACTCCCCTTCTTCCCCCTGCATCAGGAAAAAGCTCCATTGTGGGTTTACTGTGACCCCAGAGGGAAATTTTCTTCTTTCTTTTTTTCTTATCTCTTTTTCAAGTGTTGTGCTATTTATGAGGGTTGAAGAATTTGGAAAAGGAGTTGATTTTCAAATTTGGCTCTGTTTAGAAAATAATATCATCTTATATATTGGTTTGGCTAATATTTTTTTTATAGAGGCAGTGTACTCTCTGTCATTGAAAATCTATTACTGCACATACACTATTAATAAAAATCATTTGAAAATGCAATGCACTAGTGTATTTAAGTGAGTCATTGATTAAGTTTAATTACAGACAATATGATAGGGAAAATCAATCTCTGAACAACCAAAATATCTCACCTTCGGTGGCCGAGGGTTAAGCTGCTTTGGAATTTTCCAATGAAATCTTTTCCTGTTGAAAAAAAAAAAAAAAACAAATCCAAACCCTTCAGTTTTGCTGGATATCTAATCTTGTGCTCAAAGGAGGAAAATAATGGGGGAAAAAAGAGGCTCAGGAACTGCAAAATCAGTGCTTAAGAAGCTTGTATAATCTGTGAGAGGCCAAAATCCATATCCTGTGTGATCTGCTCTGATGTTGACTGTACTCTCCTTTCACACAGCTGACAGGTGTTTACTACTAGACTGGAATTTTGCTTGTTCTCTGTGGAAAAGCATAGGTTCCTTAAGTGGAAAAGGAACACTTTGAACCTTGAAAACAACAAAAGTTTCTTAAATCAATGCTGCTTATTGCTTACATGACCCATCTTGTATTTTGTTGTGTGTAGGGTTTTTTACAGGATCTACCTTCACAAACAAACGTAATGTAACTGAGTAAGCATCCACAGTAACAACATTCTTCCTGTGAGAAACAGAAACCAAGACAGCAAAATGTTCTTGAGTTCTATTGTGCTTTATTCATTGGTGTGCTGACCAGTCTTGACTACGCCTCTTTTGAAGCTCATGTGTGGTGGTGTAGGGACATCATCAGACCTGAAAGTGTGTGTTTAATGACCATTCCTTTAGTAAAATATACAGGCTGTTCTACCAACATTTTTCTACCGCAATATGGAATGATATTTAATTTTTTTTGTGGTGAGGGGGACAGACATATATTCAATGTTCTTGATGACTCAAACCTTGTTTTTTCCTGAAAATACTCTGTTTGGGAAAGGAACTGAAAACAACTATTTTACACAAATTGTGGTGAAAGCATTTGGACAGGTAAATGACAAAAAGGTGTGCATGTGTACCTACTGATGCTAGACATCATTAGTTCAAGGCAGTGAGGGCTCTGAAAGAAGTGTTTCATAAGGACTAACCTAATTTTCATGAGGAAAATATCCTTAGGCTTCTCACCTAGACAGTGAAGAGAGAACCTTTTCCAGGAGATAGAGCAGGGATTTTCTATAGGAAAGCGTCTCTCTACTTGACACAGAAAGAATACCAAGATTAGTCTAAATTTAGCACTTGGGAATGTCTTCCTATAACTAACCCTCTAAGCCTAGCCTCTGTAAGTCATTACCATTGTACTGTTCCTAGGTTTAAAATCTTACAGCTATTTTGGGGTGTTCAAAAGATTTGCCTTAGCACTTGATGAAAGTAGAAATAACTGTAATGTATCATTATTTTTTCCTTTTGGTAGCTATTTGACAAATATGCTTTAGACTATACTGTATGTGAGTGCAGACTTCTTAAACTGTGTGATGTTATGGCCCCTGCCAACAGGTGATCCATGGAACCACAACTTTGCTGCCTCAGTGGGATAAATGTGTGGACCTTGTTGAAAACGCACTCCCCTACGTTGTGGGTAAGATGTTTGTGAATGCCCATTTTCAAGAAGACAAGAAAGAGATGGTGAGTCCTCTGCAATGTCTGCCTAGAAACTTTCAGTTAGTGGCTTCCTCCTCACAAATTGCCTCTGATGTTAGATCAAAGTTTAAAAAGAGATAAGATTCCTAAAAATGCTTTGATTGAATTAAAAATAAAAAGGAGAAGGAGAAAATGAGAAAGTGGAACAAATTTGATGACATGTTAACTTTTTGCCCATGTGGGTACTGCCCATTCTTTCCATCTGCATCCCTTCAGACAAATATGTAACCACATCAAAACCAGGCTGAACACTGTTAAATGGTGTAAATAATGACAGCCAGGCTGTTCAGGAATGAAGTGAGGGGCATCGATGAAAAATGGTTTAGTATAGCTAGAGTAACTCATTATGGTAAAGCTTTTACTGACTAATTAAAAAACTGGTCAAGATTGCTCTGCTTCAGGGCTACTCTTTGAAAGCTGTGACTGTGCTACACCTGTACTCTAAGCAAGAAACATGTAAATGATGTCTGGCCCAATTACGGGAAGCTTAAAGCCACACGGTGAGAGTGAATCAAATCTGTTTTGCTGAATGGTGAAAGGAAGTCTTCTTCCACACTGTTGAGTCCAGAGGATTGTTAGTCTTCATTCTAAACTTCAAAGATAGCTCCTTTATCCCTTCTTTTAATAATACATTCAAATTAATTACCCTTCACAATAGTTTCTGACTAATTTTCAGTTCATGTTTTTCTTATGAGGTTTTCCAGTATCTGCTTTTACTGCCATTGATTTTCCAACAATAATCAGTTTTAGTTTAACTAATTTAGTCGTTGAACTTAGCTCTCCATGCAGGAGAGGCACAACCATTTAAGAAACATGTAAAATAGCATCATGTGCTGGGAGCAAGAGCTCTGTGATAGCCCCACACTGCCCTGGCTAAGTAGCCTAAGTTTATCTGTTTGACTTTATCTACTTTGACTGCTTTGTCAGGGAAGGATTCCATTTTAGACAGCATACACTTGTTTGGCTCATCCAAATCTTTGTCATCTGTTTTCCTCTCAGGTTCTGCATTTCTTTTGCTACTTGCCTTCATCTGGAGTTTCCTCTCTGAGATCCAGCTTTTCAATCCTCTGCTTCTTGATACTTGTAATGTGCTATTTGGCCATTTAATGACAAAAATATGTCAGGGATATACAGTATGATATCTGCACAGGATAAGTGGGAAGAGTAGGAGTGTAAGAAATGTACACTTTATGGAGGGGGTGGAAACTTTTTCATCTTTGTATATGTGAGGGAAAATTCTGAGAAGCAGATAGAGAAGAGAATGGTTTTCTGTTGAAATATGACCTAATTACAATGCTTCTTAGCATGTACATTCCTTTTAGACCAAAGCTTTGAAAAATTATCAAGTCTAAGTTCACAGTGGCATCCACAGAGAGAAGTGCATATAAAATTCATAGTGTAGGTCACAACATTCAGCCTTAAAGTGAACTGCCCATGGAGATAAAATTAGATACAGGTGAAATTCATTGCATTCCATTTAGAAATGTGCTTTTCAAGTTAATAGTTTGTGGTGTTATCATTTTCATTTCACTGGTTTTCAGCTCTATTTCTCTTTCTTAAGGAAGCATGTGAGTAAAGCACTCTTATTTGTATAGGTTTTATTTTTTTCTTTTTTTTTTTTTTCTTTTTTTTTCTTTCCTGGCTCATGGCATGTATCTGTCTATGATAAGTAAATCCTGAGTTATGGATAATATGGATCCTTCTCCCCCCATGTTTTGTGATTAATGTTTCATACCTTAGATACTTCTCTCCTTTGATCAAGAAAGACATTATTTGTGTCTAAATATAGCACTGTTTCTAAGTCAGAGAGCCTGCAGTGTTTCTTACAGATACGCCTGAGCAGTTTCAGTAATAACTTTGATAGCAGGAATAGGTTTCTCCCCCTGCCCCCTGCAGCTACAGCTGCTGCATAAAGCCTAAGTATACACCAGTGCCCAGCTGCAGAGCTTGAGTTTGAACTTGTAACCTCCAAATACAGGGAGTTCACCTCATTAGTGCACTAAGTTAATTGAGTCAGTGCTCTGTCATCAAGATCTTCAAGTTGCCCTATTCCCTGGGATGCAGTTTACTGTGAATGTTGACTCTTTAGTCATATTTAATGCTAGACCTGCTCCAGTTATACCATATTGCCACTAAAAATAAGAAAATGTTTTTTGAAAAGGGTAGGAAAAGATGAATAATCAAAGGAATTTTGCTGTGTTTTGTCTGACTGCACCACAGATAAAGGACAGTTCCAGATTAAAATATACATCTGACACATAAATGACAATTTAGCTAAAGGTAATGTTACTTTCCAGGGTTTAGTCCCTGCTTTTAATGACATTTCTGAACTACTAGATTTATAGAATAAAATTATAAAAATCTCTGCTACTTTCATTATTTTTAAATGTAACAGAACTGGTAACACAAAGCTCCAATAAGTCTTCATCTAATGGTTATCTGTCATGTCTTATGCTATTGCAGCTCTGGTTTGATTTGTGCTAAAGGACTCAGGCAACAGCTTGATCCCCCTAACTGCCTCACTCTCATGGTATTCTCAGTGGCTGTCTGTCATGAGGGTCATCTGTTGATATAAATAGAGGCAGCTGGTTGTGTACACCTTTCTGGACTTCCAGACAGATGCATAGGCATGAGGGCTCTTTACACTCATATAATTAATCTCTTAGCCATTAGAATTATTGTTTTTTGTCATTTCAGGGTTTTCTTAGTGTGTGTTCTCACTAAACAGTTCTATTATTATTTCTTTTACTTGCTTGTGATATGTTTGTGGCTTTGTAGAGGTGTCTGAAGAAGCAGCCAAGCTAAAATAGTTGCAGGTTTTCCTAGCTTTGCACGGATGTAAGCTGTCACTGGTGGTTCAAGACCACAGAAGGAGTTAAGTGTTGGGAGCCAGGGCCTCTATCCCTGCAGTAAGTTAATGGTAGGAATACTTCACAAACGCAGCTAAATACAGGCTAAATATTTGGATACTTCTTTGCATTTGGATCATGGCACTGTCAGTCCAAATTCAGTTCTTTGACAGTATTTATAAGGCATATCTTAGTCTGACATAAACCAAACAAGGCTACAGATGTTCTCTCTGCGGAAAAGGCTTTATTTGTGCAAATGCCTTGCAGTTGGCTCCTTCTGCATGGGCCAGTGATCTAGAACCTAAGGGTCAGAAATCTCCCCCAATGACTACAAATCTCTAAGTATTTTTAATGATTTCAAGGTGGATATTCTCACAAATGTGACATGAAAGGATCAGCAATGAACTAGTTGTGGGGTACTCCTTAAGGGAAAGAACATGGAAAAAACTTACTTTCAGAAGAAGTGTCTGAGAACTGGAGAAAACAGAGATTAGGCTTCAAGAAAGGACAGCAGATGGCATCTGATTTGAAATCATTTGTGGTCTAACCAAATCTGTTGCTCCTATGTACACCAAATCTTTTCTTATAATGATTCTGACATGACATATTTTATTGGAGAGGGATTTATTAAATGTTTTGCAGATGGAGGAGTTGACGGAAGGAATTCGCTGGGCTTTTATTGACATGTTGGAAAAAGAAAATGACTGGATGGACTCTGAAACAAAAAGAAAAGCTCATGAGAAGGTAACAAATATAAATGTTGAATGAGTAAAATCCAGTTACAGTAAAGATCTGACTTGAGCGACAACAGAATGTCATGGACTGTGCTTGCAGTTCCAGTTAATTACTCATCATTTTGTTTGTGAAGGCACATGTGCCACATTTGTTTTGCTAGAAGCTGAGCTGTCTGAGCTCCTGCTTCTCTGAGGAAGTTTTTTTTCCTACCTTGTTCTTCTTACCTTGCCTCCATATTTCCCCATCTGGCTCTGGCTGATGCAGACTATGAGCTTGTTTCAGATTTACCTGTACGGTGGCTTTTCTTGACAAGGTCTTCATCTTGAGTGGGATATCAGGGACACAACAATCTACAAACAGAAAACAGTGTCTAAAACATCTGGGGCAGCTGAGGGTGTTTGCTGTGGAGATAGAGGATCCAGCCTAGAAGGGGATATGAGAATAGTCCAGGTTTCATACTTTCTCCAGTGCCTACCTTGAAAGCCATCTTTTAAGAGTGTAATGGCCATCACAGCTAAACATTCATTTCCCAATAGAATAATGCCAGTTACGAAGTGCTATGATCAAGGATGGCATTACTGGTCCCCATTGCTTTCAGATAGGGGGACAATAGGATGCAGGAGGTAAAGGTAAAGGCAGGAGGATGTATTCAAAGCTTCCTTTTCACTCTCTTCCCACATTTACAGCACGTGATGTGTGGAAAAAAAGGTTGTCCAAATGCAGAGCTCTGTCCCTAGAGCAGCAACTGGAAGAAGAATATAAAAAGCCAAGTGGAGGGCATTGTGTAAGTCTGTGTCCTTGTTTGTTGAGGCAATGGGATATCAGTGAATTAGTAAGAGCCCTCTTTGAAAAAATTGACATGCAAGGGCAGCTGAACTGTTCGTGCTTACTGTGCTTGAATGAAAATAGCAGTGTTTTGATTAAAAAGCAAACACGGCCTTCAAAGCTTTTTAGAAATTCTAATGAAAAGGTTATTGAGACATTTTATCATTGGAAAGATTTAGATTTCATATACAGCCATTTACATTTTATACAGCAGTGCTCTTCATATATGTGCAAATGAAATAGAGCTGCATAAATGCACCAATAAACTCTACACCAAGAGAATAATAGTAAAATGCCATTTATTTCCTACTATCCTGATGGTAAATGGACTGCAGTTATAACTTCTTACTGGCTGTTATGCTTGGTTTTTTTACTAGAAATACCCTTAGAAATATAATGATCTGTAATTTAGATATTTGTTAAAATTGGTGCAAAATAAGAGCAGGAAGATTTTCTAATAATTTCCTTGATAAGGATATTTCTATATAACAATCTGCTTAATGATTTTGTTCAACATTTGCTACCTGCCTTTCATTAGGGAAACAACACAAACATTGCCACAAACTAATGAACTCCCTAAAAAAGCTCTCCCTTTCCCATTTTAAGGAGGGTTTTCATCAGAAGGTAGGTTAGGTTTTGGGTCAGTAGAGATGCTGACACACATTTTGGAAGCTTATGGTACTTTACTCCCAATTTAGGCATCTCCCTGAAGTTTCTGAAGTTGGTGGGGTGAGTCTGGGCTGAATAATGTAGGACAAATTAAATTCAAGAAGTGCAGCAAAAATAATACTACAAGCCATACTACTAGCAAATGAATAGCAAATGCTTTAAATCCATTCTCACTGACTTGAACAACCATTTTATAGTTTACTGACCTAGGAACCAGGTCAAGCTTGTAATATACAAGTATTATGTAAGGTCTTAGATGTTGTAGCAACAATTATGTGGTAGCATGTACAACTATAAATTTAATTTCAGATTCACAGAAACAGCTACTTGTTTGGAAGAAAAGAGTCTAGAGAGACATTTTGGTAGATTTCCAGACACAGAGTGTGTGCATATTTATTAAATATTATTTATTGCTAATGATAGATACTGGAACGCTTGGATGAGCATGTTTCTAATTCAAGAAATAGATTACTACATGTATGGTCACATAATTCACTAGGGAACTCTAAAGTTTATAGTACAACAGACACTTCAAAATCTGTTACACTGTTCTAATTAAATCTCATGAGCCCAGCACTTTATGCTTACTTTTTTATTATTTAAGCTTTAATAAAGCGGCACAGACAACATGAATTCTGTGGCAGAGATTGGTTGACTAAAAAACCCCCCAGTATTACTTTATTATACAGATCTGTAAAAGTGATGTTTCTTTATTGATAAATGTCATCCACATGCTGGATTCTGCACTGAGTATTGAGTAACAGCAGGCACCAAGTGTAAGTTGGGAGGGGAAAGGCTGGAGAGCAGATCTGCAGAAAGGAATCTTGTGGTGCTGGTCAGCAGCAGGCTCGATGTGAGTCAACAGTGTGTGCCCTGGCAGCCAAGAGGGCAAACCCCATCCTGGGGTGCATCAAACACAGCACGACCAGAGGGGATCATCCCACTGTGTTCAGCACTGGTGCAGCCTCACCTGGGGCAACGAGACTGGTGAAAGAGCTGGAAGGAATGTCCTGTGAGGAACGTCTAGGGAGTTTGGGGTGTTCTGGTTTGGAGAGAAGGAGGCTGAGACACCACTTCATTGCTCTTTACAGCTTCCTGAGATGGGGAAGTGGAGAGGGAGGTGCTGATGTCATCTTCTTGGGATCCAGTGACAAGATGTGTGGGAACAGTTCAGAGTTGCATTATCAGGAGAAGTGTAGACTGGACATTAGGAAGCATTTCTTTACCTAGAGAGTGGTCGAAAACTGGAACAGGCTTCTTGGAGAGGTGGTCAATGTCTCAAGCCAGTGAGTGTGTGTGAGGCATTTGGACAATGCCCTTAACAATGTGCTTTAACTTTTGGTCAGCCTTGAAGTGGTCAGGCTGTTGGTCTAGATGTTCCTTGTAGGTCTCTTCTGACTCAAATGTTCTATATCCTATTATATTCTATTAAGTAAAGAAAGGAAGTTATTAGTTAGGTAAACAATGTCTTGGTCTTTCATGATTTCATCAGTAACTGTTACATTATCCCTTATAACAATGCCAATTAGAGCTCCTGCCCTAAATGCTGTGGCAGAACCGTATGTTGCGTGGAAATGACCATAATTCATATATTTTGCTTTTCCTCTGTATTTTTAATCTCATTGCATTCTTGAAATGTTCGAGTGCTCTGAAAAGAAAAGAACTGCAGAAACCTGGTAGTGATTTTGTTTACTGGGCCTGCTGCATGTGACCTATTTAATTTGTCTTTAGCTGTTTCTTTAACTAAAGGCATATTTGGATCATTAACAATTTTTTTACTCATTTCCTGAAAGAAGAGTAAAGTCAATGCAGGATTTAGGTGTCTGTATAGTGATCATAGAGAGCCTTGTGGTGATTGTATCTTTAGAGGGCAACACTGTAATGTAAATGACACGTCAGTTTTGAAAGATAATTAATTGCAAATCCTCTCTGTGATTCGGATACTCACTGGTTTGTGTTTTCTCCTTCCTGTTTTCTGACTGATGCCCACCTTTCTTTTGCACTTGGCTGAGGCCAGGTTTGTATACCTGTCTCTCAGCCTGATGCCTTGCAATCAAAGGAACCATCGACCTCCAAAGGACTTACAAAAGACCCTCTGGTAGAATCGATTCTTGAATTTGGCTTTAGGCAGCTTGTCAGCTCAGTCTAATCGCCAAGATGTTTCTCTGTGACTGTCTTTGTGTCTGTCCTGTTGTTTTAAGTTACTCAGAGAGGACACTACTAATTTGATGAGTCAAACCATGTTAAAAGAATCAAATCTGCTACTCCAAGAGACATAGGGAACAATTGTCTTGCAGCCTTGATTTCTGAGAATCATCCCTTTAGCCCTTGTATACTTCGGAGTTAAGGTTTTACACTCCCTTTGTAACAAAACAATATAATGAGATAACATCTAATAATTTACCTCTATCCTTCTTCCGTTCCTTCCTTTCTGTAATTGAAACATGAATTTAATCCAGAGCATCTGAAGGCCAATCTTACAAAAAAGGTTTTTATCACGGTTAGGTGACTCTGCCTTTACATGCAGTTCTCACCTAGCTCTCTGGATGGAGCTCACGCTGCTTCTAAAGGAGCTCGAGTCGGAGAGAAGCGTTTGGCTCTTCACTGTGATGTTTTCTGTCCTGTCCTTCCTCCTCTGCTCTATTCAACCCTTGCTTTATTGTACTGTATTTGACTATCATCTCAAATTTGCTTGAAGTGTGCCTGTTAACCTCCCGAATTTTCAATGGAGTTCTCTGATAAACAAACAAACAAACCAACAAAAAAAACCCTGAAAGCTTCCTCTTCTCACCCTTTTAATGTCTCACTTTTGTAAGGGTCATTAAATTTTACCCTCATTTGAGGAACAGAGACATTATTCAACTGAGTGCAGCTCCAAGGGTGGGTCTGGCAACAGTCTTTGAGTATGTGGTCTGTGAGTTACCAAAGCTGAGCAGAGAGATCCCTGGTCAGCTGCCCAGGCACCTGGTGAGCTCTGTGCCACCTTACAGCCTCTGAGAAGGATAGCAGATGAGAGGTGTGGGGAGAGAGAAGGGATAGCCATTTGTTTCCCTTACAATGAAGGTGCAGATTGCAGCCAGCTACAGCAGCCAAACAGTACTGACAGCTGTGTTTGGGCATGGTGGGCCACAGGGAAAAGGGAGAATCCACAACTGAAACTCCATTGACATAACTTGTGTGATGAGGGCTCACATCTTTAAAATGATAATTTATTGCTGCTTCTCTTCAAAGGATAATTCAGTGGAAGATCATCCCTCAGATGTTAAATTATTCCCACTCCTGGGCAGGAACCATTATTTTATTAATCACTCTTTTTCCTTCCTGAAATGCCCTTTGTGCTTGAGTTTAACTGGGGGCTTGAAAAAGACTTGTACACAAAAGCCTTTTTTCTGAAAGGTTGTGGTTCTCTCGTAAAATATTCTGTTAGGATATGGTAAGAGAATAACTTCCTATTAGGAAGTTGTTGCTTTTTTTTTTTTTTGCTTTGCAGTACTATTTTTAAAACATGGATGATA